CGAAATCGATTTTTGGCCGTGTCCGCGATTTTTGCGATAATCTTTGATTTTTACTGACATTTACTCTTAAAATTCTATATATACCAAAAAAAATAAGATTCCGACAACAGTGAATCACCAAAGAGTTGGAAATGGGAAATGCAGGACTTGCATATCGCCAGCTGCCAACCCACAAAGATGGCAACTGTTTATTCCATGCGATGAATGAGCAGCTAAGTCGCCTCGGAAGAGTATCGCACAGTAGCACAAAATCGTGCTCTGACCCGGTAAACGCCGAACTAACCCAGCCATCCTGGAAGGGGACTAATTTGTGTGAATATATCAATCTTGGAACATGGACATCCTGGACGGGACTAATTTCTGTAAATACATCCTGGACGGGGCTAATTATAGTGAATATATCAATCGTGGAGAACGGAACATCTATCTGCGTAGAATGACTGGCTGGTGATTGCTTCATGGGCCCTAATTGATATGCTTGAAATCGCAGTTGCGAAAGTACATCTATCTGGGTGGAATGACTGGCTCGTGATTGCTTTATGGGCCCTAATTGATATGCTTGAAATCCCGGTTGCGAAAGTATCTAGCACTACAGGAGAAAATAGGCTCGATTACCAGGAGAAACGGGATTGAATGTGATCTATCCAGGTGATTGTCAAAACGAAGCACAAGCCACTGGAGATATGATGGTCTTGTTTGGCCACGAAGCTGAACTTCATTACCATACTGGAACCAATGGCTTTTCAGAATTCCCAACTACCAAAGTTAAAGTACGGCCAAGGAAAAATTACAGAATCTGGAGTAAATTTGAAAGCTACACACAAGGTGTTTTACGGGTCTACTCGGGTCTCCTCAGATGACAGCGTCTTCTGTAATAGTTGCTTTATGGTTTCAATTTAGTTTGAAACTTTAGCCGCAGTACCTCTTGTCCGACGAAAGCTTAGTATTATAGAAAATTAAGTTTTTGTTGCTGTTGTTCCTGTTATCGCCAGCCGGGTGAAGTTAACAGACTGATAAAATTTGATTTTACTATAACACCGAATACCAATGTTTAGCTATGGAAAGCGTGTGTTGCGTTGTCAAAAAGTCACCTGAGTATCAGGCCTTTCTTAGCAACAGGGCTACCCCGCGAGGGGAAAAGCCTGATACTCGGACTAGTCAAAAAGAATCTAGAATTTTAAAATTGCGAAGGAATTGTGGGAAGTCACTAGACAGGTCCACACTTTCACAAATCACGAAACCTTAAGCATCTTTATGTGGACAGAAAGAAACTCACAGCCATCTCGAGGAGATACATAAGAAAATTATAATCAAAGGCCCTTTCGGCTACCTCGTGTCATTAGTGCTGGCGTGTTGAATCGATAAAATCGATAATCGATAAAAATCAATTGAAATTAATAAATTGTGTCGGAAACTCTGTGGGAATTGATTTTTTTAATATTATTCTTATCGACTTTATTGAAGTTATTAACTTTATCGGCGCAAAATGTCGGCAGTTATTGTAAGGAAGTGAAACATCAGAAAAAAGGCAGCCATGACTGCAAGTGGCTACTGCTTCATTTTTGTAGAAATAATATTGTAGTAAAAAAATTAAAGCAATGTTATATGAAATTTAGAGGGTAAATGAACAGCTCTAGTCGATGTCAAAATTGCGTTAATAAAAATTGAGACTAGGGTATGATCGGTTAGATTAGTGGTTGTACACTGGTAAATTGGCAGGGCGAGGCACAGACAGGGCAGGGAATTAATGAGTTTAATGGAAAAAGAATGAGTACATAATGTCCATTATTATAATAATAAATGTATGGGAATACAATAATTTACATGTAGTTCAACAAACCTCTCATGTAAACGTATCTATTCGCACGGCCAAAAACCGCTCTTTTGCCGTTTGTCATCCCTTTAAGATGCCGTTCGAACGGCTGAGGTTATCCGTTCAGAGAAATACTCAGCCGTTCGAACGGCAGAGATCACCCGTTCGAAAGAAAAAATGCATGCAGCCGTTCGAACGTGTTCGGGAACTTCCACTCAGTAAAACTGTGACGTTTGGATTGTATTTCTTTTATTCCCAACGGTTCTCTTGAGGCTTATAATCCGCTCCACAAGTCAACAATCTACAATCCGCAATCTGTTCTTAACGTTCTCACATAGCCTTATTCTAATGTTATCTTGACAATCAAGTTATTAATCTGGGTAACTGAGAGTTGACCTGTTTCATAGGCGAAGTTTATAGTGTAATAGTCGTGAAATAAAGGTATTTTTATGTTACGCTGGCGGTCAAGTTACGATTCATATCCTGGCTATCAGTCCCTCTAGGAAAAATCTCGGCCATGACCAGCCTCACACTGCTGAAACGCAGAGAAAAACCCAGATGTTTATTACCAGGACTACCAACGACGAAACGACATGCTGTAAATGGTCGTAAACAGTCATTTATTGAACTTTTATTTCCACTTCGACGAAACGAATGATTTAACGTTTGTCGTTTTCAGAGTTTGTAGTCTCGCTGTCGTATTTTAGCATCGAAATGAGTCGTTTGTCGCTCGCTAAAAAGTTACCCCTACGTAACCGCCACCCGCCGCCCGTTACCCGCCACCCGTTAGCCCTACCCGCCACCCGCCGCCCGTCACC